AGATGCAGTTTTACTTTATTTTGAAAATAGACTTTTTAGAAATGTACAGCCACATATTATATTTTATATGGTATCAGCAAATATGGACTAAGAAAGAAGAAATATTATGCTTTTAAAAATAATGTTATCTGCCTGCTGCTTTTTTTTTTTTTAATTTGGCTGTAATGTAGCTGGCATGCTGCATTTGGGGCTATCTCCGTGTGTTTTTTCAAATGTCATCTTTATTAGTATTACATTCAAGGAATAGTACCAAGAATCAGTTTCTTTCCAGACCTTCCTTTAGTGTGTGGCATATAAGTCTGTGACGAGCGACATTACAGAAGGTCATGTCACTTTTAACTGCTTGCATTACATCTTTCTGATTTCCCTAGTGCCCTTCCTTTGTTTGATTAATACTACTTGTTTTCAAGCAAGGTATCAGAAAGCATAATTTGGAAAGAAAATTCTAGAGCCAATCTGAGATATTCCCCCCTCAAGAAAAAAGAAAACAAACAACTTTGTGAAAATGTATGCTTTCTAACATGTGCATTTTTCATCACTCTGCATTATTTTTTCTGAAGGAAATGCTATATATGTATTGGTATTAATTATTGCTGACAAGTGTTTAGGCAACTGGACTCTGTGTACTTGAAAACAAAACTAAGTATTCCTTCTTTGGTTTTATTTGAAAAGGAAAGAGCTGGAATTGGACAATAGGACTCCTTTATTTTATTTGTTTTCCTTGATTGTGTTAAAATCCAGCACTCTCTTTCTAAATAGGTGTAATTTGAGTTCTCAGGGAAAGGTTGCAATTTTGTGCAGTCATTAAATGCACTTCAGTAATATATATAGTTTGTTTTTAAAAGCTCAGTTTGTAGTTCTATATTCATTGCATTTGGCCAGGGCTCATGTCTTCAAGCACAGCGCAGCTTCTGAGACACCGCTGCCTTCAAAGCCATCTGTTTCATTAGACAACTAAAGTCTGAAAACTAGTTGTGAAAGCATTATCATTTTAATAGAGAATCTTATCCACCCCTCTACCTGTGCCCATCTATGTATTTTTTAGTGAAACAGGAACTGGAATTTTGTATGTCATTAAGAACACAGGAAAAATTTATATATATACTTTAATTTCTAAAAATTAATGTTTAAATACTAGTAAATTGATTTTGTTTTTATTAGTAACTAATATTTTTGACTACTTCAATACAGGAATTGTGCTAAGCGCCTTTAATATATTGTCTCATTGGATTCTTCATCAACACGTCGGATAGGTGCTATTATTATCTTTATTTTCCAAGCCACCTTAAGCTTCATCTAAGCAAAATATAATAGTGGGATACATTCTGAAGTAGCTTAAAGGCATCAATAGGAAAGCAGCTATATTATAAATCCTCGCTTGTAGATGTTTATGATGTCACATTAAAAGAGCACTGGAGGAGGGGAAAGCCCTCACTAGAGCGCTAAACAAAACACAAAGGCCTCTCGCTAACACAACACTCTTCTGCCAAATGTAAAAGCAAATGGTTGCATTGGGTGGTTCTGGCTGCACATTTGTGGAGCAATTGTGCGTAGCCAATTACCCACTTGTGAAGGGTAAGAACAGTTTGGGTTTCACAAATGAAGAGCCTGAATCTGTAGACCACTTTGAGTCATTCTTGAACATAAGATCTGCAGTTGATTTGTAAAATGTGTAAATTAAGCTTTTGGTTTGTTTTATGGTTCAATAATATTTTGAATTTTTGAAAACCAACTTGAAGATGGTGGAGATCCCCAAATCTTGAAATAAAGTTTAGATATTCATGGTTTGTATTTTCAGGCAAATATTTGAAGGCATTTTGAATATTTGCTTTTAGTAACCTGCATAATTGGTTAAGTATATGTCTTTTCAGACAAACTGGTTCTGTTCTGTGAGATAAATGATAGGCACATTACCAAAAAGTGTGTTCAAGGATATGAAGGATAGATGATGCATTCATGTATTCACTCTTTCAACAAATATTTCTTGAACACCCACTATGTATCTTGCAGTCTGCTAGGCACAATTTAACACCACCACTCTGTCTTTCTGGCACCTACAGTATGATGGTAAGTGCTGAAGAGGGGAGGCATATAAGGTTCTCAATAATAACTAGTGAAAATATTGTTGGAGTTTGTGCACAGGAATAAAAGTATAGTCTTCATTTATTGTCCTTGATGTTTTTGATAAATGGCTTTGCATGGATAATTTTAGCAAAAAATTACTTAATCTAATGTGTGTTGAATCATGTTGTATAACTTACGTATAAGTATATAGAATTTTTATTTGTTTTTTTATTACATTTACTTTTCTTACATTTATTACATTTTTTAATTACATTTAATTTAGTTTCTATTTTTCAATTACATTGATAAAGTTGATATACAACAGTGTATTAGTTTTAGGTGTACAGCATAGTGATTAGACACATAGAACTTGCCAAGTGCTCAGCTCAATAAGTCTAGTACCCATCTGGCACCATACCAAAATATCATTGACCATATTCTCTAGGCTGTACTTTCCATCCTTGCGACTGTTTTTATACCTGGCAATCTGCGCATCTCATCCCTTCCCCTTTTTCACTCATCCTGCCAACCCCTCCCATCTGGCCACCATCAAAATGATCTCTGTGAGCTTATTTCTGTTTCATTTGTTTATTTTTTATTTTAGAGTTCACATACAAGGGGTATCGCATGGTATTTTGATAGAAAACATATCATATGATATGTTTTTCTCTAATTTCACTTAGTGTAATTCTCTGTAGGTCCAAGGTCTATCTGTATGGACAAATGTCAATATTTCATTCTATAATATCTTATGGCTGAACAATAGTCCACTGTATAGATGTACCACAGCTTCTTTATCTATTTGTCTGTCAATGGATACTCAGGTTGCCACCGAAAAAAATAAAATAGATAATGACCAACCTTTAAGAATTACTTATTCTAAATCTAAAATTCAAAACATCATTTTATTAGAGATACAAAACTATAAGCATTTTTTAACAATGATTTTTCGCCTCACCCTCACCCTTATTTATTTATTTATTTATTTATTTATTTATTTAAGAACTGGGTAGGGGTTGAAAGCTTACCCTCTACTATCCCAGAGTCTGGATTTGAGTTCTAGTTCAGCTACTTGTTAGGCGAATTTTTTTTAATTCTTTTGATGCAACACAATGTACTGAAATACTGTGATTGCTTTTCCTGTTTGAACCTCCAACACAAATAGTCCAATCTGTAATAGTCTGGCATATAGTGCCTAAATTATATCTATGATATGAATACTTCAAAATTTTAGAAAATTAAAATTCATGAAAAATTATCTGATAGTCCTCATTTAAATTCTACTGGGATTATAAGCCTTTTGAGAGTTGACGTGAGCATAGATGAATTATCTTTGTGTTATTCATTTTGTATTTCCACACTACCTAGCACTGTGTTCCTTGGACCAAGGGGGTTTATAATAATGCTTATGGAGTGGCTGAATATAGTTATAGAAAGTCAAGAATCCTTCTTTCTTGCTGAAGCTGAATTGCTTTATATATCTCCAAAATAAGAGTAAACTCTCACGTGATATTGGAAACAACATATTGTGTTACTACATTTTACCCAAAATACTGAATTTAAAATGAAAGACCACAAAATTATATCATATAATAGAACCTTTAAAGTATGACATTAAATTAAGAACAATCTCTCAGATTGTCAGATGCTTTGAGACATATTGGTTCATAAGAATTGCATGTTTGTGTTTGGGCTATTCTTTTAAAGCATTTAATACTTTTAGAATGTTTGAGAAAAATTATTAAAATAAAAGAGTTCTGAAATGTTATCTTAATTTATTCAACTTTTTGCATGATACAGTCTTAGTTATTGAAGTTTTCATTCATTAACTGCACATATTCCTGTCTGTATCATAAAGCCACATGAAAGAAGGGCTAGTGGTCTCTTATCTTCCATAGTTATGAGCTTTGGGAGAAAGGTTAAAAATATTTGATAATCACATTTGTTCAGAGCTAAAGATATAGACTGGATAAAAAATAGAAATGCCACAAGATTTAGAAATGACATAAATAGAATTATATATTGGCACTTATTTGAACAACCTCTCCCCATTAAAAATTTTATTTTGGCTTCTGTGGAATGTCTGTATATGCATGTGTTTGTGTGTAGGTGTATAAAACTGTAATACAGCACCTGAAACAGGATGAAGTCCCATTCATAATGGCTGTAGTTATATACTGATTGAGGCAAGCAGAATCTGTCTGGCAAATCCAAAATGACTGTTTCATTCTGCTAAAGTAGCTAAACTAGAAGCCACTAAAAAAAGCATGGATGCATATCCACCAATAATATATGCATATTATACACAATTGATTATTAAATACATAGCCAATTTTCTTTCAATAATAATATCCATTCTCATTGTAAAATCACAGAGAATTAAAGTTAACATATCAGGTAATCCACAAAATCAAAAAGTAATACAGAGATAGTCAAGACTTGACAGTTATGCATGGAATTAAAACTTGAGCCATGAAAGATATGGTTAGTTTTATACTATAGACCACCCGCATGATTCAATGAACAGACACTTTGGTGAAACTAAATTAAAAATAGCAGAGCTGTTTTCTGCCTACTTATCTAGCTCCAGATTTAAAGTGCCTGATAAATATAGACAGCAGAGTAGGTAAAAAGGAAATTTCCTGATTTAAAGCATCTCTCAAATTAGTGTTCGTTTACCTTATGCATATTTCAGATTCTTTAAGTTGTCACAGAATATTTCACACAAATAGGATTCCCCTGACTGGGATCCAGTTCCCTGGTTTTAATCAATTAAAGGCATGGCATTTTCCTCGTCCCGATAGCTAGATCAAATATTCCCTCGCAGTGCATCTGTTTCAAATGTTAATAAAGTTCTCATTTCCAAAAGGTTCAAAATGACAGAACAAAATTCTCTCCTTTAAGAGCATGAAAACGACTTCTGTTTCTGTCTGCAGGTAGTGGAGGACATGCTAGAGGACGAGGAAGAAGAAGATGACAAAGATGACAAGGTAATTATCTTTCCCAGCACTTGGGTACCTGGGGATGGGGAAATGTAGACATGACACTGTTTTCACAGACAGTTAACAAAGGAGTTGAAGTGTTTGAGTCCAGAAAATTGGACAGTGCTGTTTATCATCCTAACAATACCACTGCATGTTGCAAAGAGGGAGAGAGGGCTATAAATCCTCTTCGCTTTTGTCCAGAGCTGGGTCAAATATTTTTCTGCCAGGGACAAAAAAAAATAATTCAGCTTGTCTGGAACTTGATAGCTCTCCTGAAGATAACGGCAGTGACAACTGTGTTTGAAGGGCAAAAATTTGTCCTATCTTGAGTGTTACAAATCAGGCTACATTTTGAGGGGAGAGAGAAGAGGAAAGCTAGCAGGCTGCATAAGTTGAACATGGATATCGTCATCCGTAATTTTCAAAAAATTGCTGATCAAAGGAACACGTGTGAGCAGAGGGCATTTAAATAATCCCAGTGCTCCCTGCCCTCTGCCTAGACTTGACTTGGAATGGCCCTGTGGTTTCTTGGTCAGGAAAGTGTGTTCAGAGTCTTGTTTTTCGATTGCTGCTTGGGTTGGGGATGGTGTCCACGGTAAATAACGGCTTGGACTGGCTGTCCCCTGGGGGGAGAGGACAACTGGAGGGAGGAATTAGAATGACCTTGCACCACTGCTGCAGCGCCTGGGGTTAGAAGAACGGCCTTCTGGGGCAAGGAGGATAGCAATGCTGGTTTGTCATGCGTGGGCACTTCAAGGTCTAAACTCTAAAAAGTCCTAGGGGGAGACCGAGAGGGAGAGAGACTCTCATTCTGTAGCTCTACGTTGTTCAGCATGTAAAACCAGATTTTGACTTTCACCAGAATCTATCGAATTTTGTTACAGTAAAGCAAGTGAAATTTTTCTGAAGGAAGGAGAAAAACAGTGTATCTTAATTTATACCCTTGACCTTTGATTCCAGTAGAGATGTACAGTTATATTTTAGTTTAAGAATGTGTGTGCTAGAGGCAAGCATTGGAAATGTCAAAAAAATTCACAGTGATTAGTTAACTCCCAAATGATTTTTTCCCTAATATTTAATGCTAAAAGGAAAATGGAAACACACACATTCCCACACACATACTTTTTCTCTTCTAATGCTATTTCAAACATTTTAAAATTAATAGAACTTTTATGTAAAATTTTTCTTATGTACATCATTTAGCCATTAGCGACATCGTCAAACATAAACTACAAAAATCTTCCTACAAAAACACACATGTGCTTGTTTTTTAATGTTCTGTAATAAGACCATACATTTATGGCAATAAATGATATGATTTATTGTTAAGGTCAGTTATAGAGCAGTAGAGAGCTTGTATTTTAACTCAACATGCCAGCTCTGAACCATCATTTCTCTGCTGATAAACACTGAGCTGCCATCCATTTATGGCCATTTTCCCTTGCTTGTTGCTGTTTTATTATTAAAGCCACCATAAAGGTCCATTCTGGCAGTGGGCGTTTCCCCAGAACTGTTAATAAGTGGAAACCCTCAGTGAAGTCTAGTACTTCAATGTCCCTGCTTGAAGTCAGGCTGTATTTTATAGCCAGTTTGTTGATATTCTATACCTCTAATCTCCCTTTTATGGTCATTTTTTTAATAGAGACGATGTTAGCAATGGGAAATCAATAGCACACCTGGTTAGCCAGCTTACCAAAACACAGATGCCAAGTAGAACACGCCATGGTGGAAACAGCACCAGTACCTTTGTAATCCAGTGTTTGGTTATCTAAAATTGACACCCCTTTTTAACACATTTTTAGACCTAATTACCAAAGTTGACTGAAAGGAGTACTTAAGTTACTATGTGAATTCACCTGGATTCTTCTGTATAGGATGCCAACAGTGTGCTTTCCATATGAAAGGACTGAGAACTGATTTTCCTAAATCCAGTCCTTTATGTGAATGATATATAAGGTTTTTCTTTTTTATTCATAATGCAATTTATAGCATTAAAACCATATCTGGAGAGAAAGAAAATCTCAAATGTAATAGTTTACAATAGACGTTAGGAGCTTGCATAATAGAGAAAAGAATCTTAGAGTGGACATTTTGAAATATAGTTTTTACTCTAAGAAATGGAAATATGAAAGGATCCTTCAGGTTTCTATTTACCAGCTCCTCTGGACTGGCTCTCACAGCGGTGAATGTTGTAAGCCTTGGCTATCCGTGTGTCTGAGCGGGAGAAGGGTAATTTCCTACTTTAAAAAATTCATTGGTTCCTCTATTTAAAGTTTGTGTATAGAGTCATGCGTAATGGAATTTCATGAGAAAACAAATGTATTTTTTGCCATACGAGCAGGTACTGACCTCTAACTCTCATTATTTCTCTGTTTTCTCATATGGTATAATAGTGGGGTCAGGTCAGTGGGTCCTCTTATAGGATAAAAGTAAAAAAGATTAATAAATGTGCCAAAGCCTCACTTTAATTGAACCTGAAGCATATGTTGCAAGTACGTAAAATATGTCCCAGATGTTTCACCAGGGCTAGTGTCTTGGCTTTCGCTGATTACCACAAGGCAACTATTAGTCCTATAACCTTTGGACTTGGGGGTAAATGGGGTATTACATGGCACAGAATGGGAGCACCTGTTTTCCATTCAGCAAAGACCCCTGGCAGGCTTTGCCTAAGCCTATCCATATGTTTTCACTTAGCAGATTGTTGGGCGATTATGAAAAGTGTCTTTCTTTAGAGCCAGCATTGATATTAGTCACTCACAATGAAAGGGCAAGTCATTGGCTACTTGACAAGGTCCGTGTGGGCATAAACTGAAGTCATTTATTTCATTTGAGCTTGGAGTGTTTTCTCTCAACATAATTATATAGATGGTATAAGAAGTTGAAGCAGACTGAGATATAATTACTTAACGTAGTAGTTTTGTAATAGCTTTTCTTTGTGCTGACTTTAGCACCTGGGAAGGCTTTGGTCAAAGTTGGTAAAAGCTAAGTCATGGTTTACCTGGATCCCCAGATCTTAAGTTGTACATTATGGCCTTTTGAGTATTTTTGGGTGTGTGAATTCTTCCTTTTTACTAAAACAGCTAACGGTTATTCACCTGATGGTTTGTGATCCTTGGATTTAGTCTTCATTCCAGAATCCATTGTTGACATTTGCTTAAATCATTGATTTGATAATATTTTTACTTACCTACATTATGTAGTAGCACTATGTTAAACTTTGCTGGAGATGCAATTTTTCCTGAATTAAATGGTAGAAAGACATCATATTGCATTCTCAGTTCCCTTTGTTGTAGGGTATTTTTTCAACCATCAACCACAAAGTCAAAGTTTGATTTTTGACCTGACACCAAATCCTGCCTTTGTGGTTAATAGAGTATCTTAGTAAATAAGGCTTAGCCAAATTACCAAGGAGGAGTAAGCTGTATAATAGTGCTTTTCACTATTTATATTTAATACAGTGGTCAATCTGCATAATCTAGACATCTAATTAATGAATATCAACCTTTGTTTTGTAGCTTAAAAAGTTAAGGCATGTTTCCCATGGTGTGTCCTACCCTTGTAATGGGATCCAGCTGCAATATCAGGAAGCAGAAGATAGAATGCAGGTTTTCCTCAGGAAAAGCATGGATTCAAATGCATGGCATTCTAGTAATGTTTATTGGTAAAAGATATTAAAATGTCCAGGCATTTATGTTCACATTGCTTCTTTTTCTTCAACCAATATGTCAAGGTTACTGTGTATCAAGATAATAACTAAATGCAGTGAATGAAACATACCTGAGTTATTTCAAAATACACAGATCGTTTGCTTTAATTCTTGAAATCTGTATCTTCCAGTTTGATTCTTCAGCCCTAAGCATGTATATAATATACCCAAGATACAAACATCTTTGAATCTCAAACCAACTGTGAGGGAGAAAAAAAAGAGATAACTCTGATACATGATATGAGAGAAGATTTTAATCTGACAATATGGCATTTTCTTATTCAGTAAAATAACTGCATGGTGGGAAAACAGATTAAAGCTTTGGAGAAAAGCAGGTAAAGAGGAGACAAGAAAACAAGACCTTTTAAAAAAAAATCCCAAGTCACACTTAACTAGAATACCATTTTTTTGTTTATTAGTTTTCTATTGCTGCATAACAAATTATCACAAATTTAGAAGCTTAAAACAATACATATTTATTAGCTGTCCATTCAATAGGTCAGAAGTCCAGGCATGGTTCAAGTGATTTCTCTGTCCATGGTCTCACACTCAAGGTATCAGTCAAGCTGAATTCTCATCTAGAGGCTCTACAGAAGAATCCATTTCCAAGTTCATTCAGGTTGTCCATAGGATTCAGTTCCTTGTAGTTAGAAGTCCAAAGCCCTTGTTTTCTTGTTGGCTTTCCACTTAGTGGCCACTTTCCAATGTTCTCTCCAAATTTATACCCATGAGTGGAGAACCTCCTTTCTGTCAAATCCCTCTCACCCTTCAAAACTCTTTCTTCAGGAAGAGCCTAGTCCTTTTGAGGGCTTGCTCATTCAGGCTCACCAAAAACTAATCTCCCTTTTTAAAGTCAACCGTGCCGTGATAACCTGATCATGGGAATGACTATCCCATCCTCTTTCTAGATCCCCTCACACCTGGGGGATGGGCTATATAGGACATACACTCTAGGAAGTGGAATCTTGGCGGCCATCTCATAATTCTTCCTACTACACCCATCTAGACCCATCCATGCTCTAGACCAGAAATGGAACAATATTTGTGGTCCTCGTATGTATCTGTTGCTAGGCTGTGATATAACTGTCTTACAATAAACAAATTAGACACATCCTTTCAAAAATTATAGGAAATATCTCAGACCAAAGGTATAAACTGAGGTATATTTTACAGTATAACCTTTTCCACTTACTATCTAATTTTGCTCTGTGGCAAGCGGGGCTTGGCCATGCAACCAGCCCAAAGGGCTCTTTCCTTTTGTTGCTCCTTCTGGGTGGAAGAGCAAATAAGAATAAAATTG